AAGCTATTTTTGCTTATTTATTTAAAAATTTGAAAAAAAAAACTTAAAATTTTAATTTTATATAAGCTTTGATGTATACAATTTCTTATATATACAATAATTAAATAAATTAGTATAATAAAATTGAAAACAATTGTTTATTTTATTAATATATTATATACTATATATTATTATATAATTATAATTTATATAATATATTATATATTATATATAAATGTATTATATATAAAAATATATATAATATATAATATATAGTATATATGGGTCGTGTATGACCGGGTTGCGGGCAGCACGACCTGCTCGGTCATGATGTGTTGGCCCAGCCTGCGGACCTAAAACCCTAGGCCCAACACGACACGAACCATCGTGTAGGGACTGGCACAGCTCGTGTGTTGTCGTGTCAAGCCATGCCAGGCTACAGGTGGCACAACATGATTTACACCTCTCGGCAATACCATGTTGTCCTTTGCTAGTTCCCCTACAAGTGCCTAAAACTCATCTATTTGGGTAGACACGTCCATGTCTTCTTTCATGGTAAAATACAGGAACTTTGCAATAACATATTTTTTGTTTCCAGCATCTTCTATAGCATATTTGTTGTCCAAAGCATTCCAAATTTCATAGGCAAAGTTGTAGGAGTAGTTGACATTATAGAGTTCATTGGGTAGGCAGTTCAAGATATGGTTCTTGCAAAGGTGATTAGCTATGAACTAATGTTTTGCAACAACAAAACGAGTTGGTTCCTCCATATTTATTGGGTTTGGTTCAACTAAAGCAGAGGATACCCTTAACTATTCTAAGGCAAAGAGAAGGCATTGTCTCCGATGCTTGTAGTTGGTTCCACTAAATGGCTCAATTTTGGAGAAATCAATAATTGTTGACAATATTTGATTTCCCATGATAAGGTAGTAGAGATAGGTTCTATAAATGCGGTTTTAAGATTGTTGTAAAAATAGAAGTTAGAAGGCAAAATGGAACTTATTGTTCAATGCTTTCGAAATCCAAAGTGCAAAATTGGAACTGAGAAATGTAGCCAAAATAAGGTTGAGTCATGCCACTTGGTCACTCTCCTTAAAACCGCATTTGCCCCCTACGGTGTAGTTGGGTGAATGCAAATTGGTCTCTAAGATAAAACAACCCACAGGATTTTAGTAAATGTGCAGTCGCTTACCTGACTTGACACACGCATGTGTGAAAAGCACCCCCAACCCCCTCTCATGCATGTGAACATTGTATAGTGCTTTCCTCCTATGGGTCCCTACCCATAGAAACAACAAATCTAGTGATAAGCTTAACCCTAACTCTTTTCCCAAGTAATGTGGGACAAAAGGTCTTCACATGCATTCAATAGGAGAAAAGAGGATAAAGACAAAACCAACAAGACAAACAAAAATAAGTGGGAGGGAGTTAACATTCTTATAATTTGAATCTTTCCTCCAACAAGAGCAAAATCCATATGAAAAAAAGCAAAGAAGAGGTCAAAGTAAGGGGTTGCAGCCAAATAATGCCAGAGAAGCACAACCCAAAAGAATAGGGTGAAGGATAAGAGGTGGAGAGAGGGGGGGGGGGGGAATCACTGAGAATGCAAACGCAAAGCAACCCATTCTTGGAATAGGCACAAATTAGAACCAATGAGAATGCAAACGCAAAGCAACGCATTCTTGGAGATCAGGCCAAGAAGGATGGAAAGACAACGACATGCTTGAACCAAGAAGAAAAATAACATAAGCCATTCTCAGATCTTAGACAAAGAATGATAGCATACAGATGAGATAACCACAAACCAATGATTAAAACCAGCAACAACTAAGTAATAAATATTATATATATATATAAACTAAAATAAAAATGTAAGCTTTGTATAAAGCATTTTGATACAGTTATAATGTTATATATTCATCGTATTAAACAAAAATAAATGTGAAAATAATAATTGCTTTTATTAATGATGAAAATGGAATATAGGATTTAAAATCAATCGAAAAAGCAAAATGGTTTTTCTATCCAAGTGGTGGATTAGTGGTTCAACTATCCGTATCAAATGGATCAACACATGATGTTATAATTAAATAATAAAATACATAAAATTATATAAAATGTAGAAAATTGTAGATAAATTTGTGTACATTCTATAATATCATATATTCATCATATAAAGAACGTGTAATAAATGACAATTATTTTCATTAATGATGAAAATGGGATAAAAATTAGGAAGAAAAAATAAAAAGCATTAATGTTTAACACACGATTCCACTAACCATATCAAATGGTTCAATGATTTAATTAGCTAGGTCACCACCGTAAGTAAGTGGTTTAGTGGTAAACAGACCTACAATCTTAAATAATAAAAAATAAAATATATATTTTTTATAAATTTTATAGAAAATTTTGAACATGTATTAATATTATATATTCTTCATATTAAACAAAAAATATGTTTGAAAAATGAGAATTATTGTTAGTAAAGATAGAAATGGCTAAAAATACAAAAAAAAAATGAAATAATGTCTTAAACATAACCCATTTTCCTGGTTAAATAGGTTAGTGGTTCAACCGATAAGAGCCTCATTTGGTTGTTGACCAAGTCAATGATTTTTTGGCAATAAAGTGGTTTAGGTTAAAACATACTCAAAAAAATGTGTCCAATTGACAAACTAATAAACCCAGCTCTATGGTTTAACCACATGCTGTAAACATTGATAGAAACTATAAGAATATTTGAAGTTAAGTCTTTGAGTTGAACGACAATGTATACACCAGTACACTATGATTTGATCACTTTTCTTTGTTTAGTGAATTTTAATAAAAGCACTAAAATATTATTATTGTTATCATCATTTTGAAACTACAATGTGCAATATGCATACACATTTATTAGTTAAAATATAAAAACATGGATTGATAGATACATAAAAAAAAGTCCTTGAAAACATTGCCTTTAAATATTGATACATATCAGCCAAATACAATAATACATGGTCCTAAATGAAAATCCTAAAAAAAGATAACAATAGAGTTCAAAAACATAGGCATTCATCAAGAGAGATGAATTATCAAGTTCCCTTTCGAGACTGGTTGCTTTCTCCTATGACGAGCTTCCTCTTTTTATCTTAAATGAAGATATAAAAAATATAATTAGCACACACTGATATACATGTTGAACCTAAACCAAACATAGCCTCGAAAAATTTGAATAGATTAAGAAATTAATATTCTGTTGGGTTTAGTTTGCTTGGTCCAATCTGGGGTGGGTTGGGAAACACATCAATTATATAACCTTTTGATGGTTCTCTCTCTCTCCATAGGATTTAAACTAGAAGTTTTAATAATTTCTTGTAACTCGGAATACATGTATTGCTATGTTTGGTTTGACAAAAAAATAAGAGAAGTTACAAGCAAATAGCTTCGAAAAGTCTTGATTGACTTCATTTGGCTGAGATTATTAGAAGCCTATTTGGTTTTTTTTTTTGAAACAAGTATAAATAAATAAATAAATAGAAGTGATTTTGGATTTTAAGAAGATTAATTCTTTGTGCTTGTTTATTGATTTGAATTATTATTAGTATTTAGTGATTCGCAGAGTAGGCCAATTTCACCTTTCCTTTTGTCTCTGTCTCACAAATTTCCATTTATCTTTTATTTTTCTTATAAACAAAAATAAAATGATAAATAAGAACTATTTGTATTAGTAATGAAAATGAAATACAACCGGTTTAAAAATGAAAACGTCTTCTTGTTTGGATGGTAGGTCAAAGGTTTAACTTTAACCTTTTAGGTTAAATGAGTCAGCCTATGATATCATATACTTAAATGATTGTAATAAAAATTTGGAAAGATAGAAAGACAAAAACAAAAAAATTAAAAACGCAAAAAATTGTGTGAAAAACATTTGGGCACATCTGTGATATTATATATCGATACAATAAATAAAAATAAGGTGATAAGTAAGCATTCTTTTTTATTAATGAATAAAAATAGAATACAAAATTAAAGCTAACTTGAAAACAAAGTTGTGTTTCCGTCCAGGTGCCAAGTCAATGGTCCAAGTGTTTGGGTAAAATGGGTTGGCCAACAATGTCATAATTAATAATAAAAATACAAAAATAACAAGAAAAAGGTTGACACTTCTCTCTAATATTATACATTTATGACATTATAGAAAGATAAGTATGATATGTTACAATTAAATAATAAAAGTTAAAAAATTGATAAAAATCAAAATTATAGAAAATACAAAAAAAAAATTGTAAAAGATTGTGCATAAATCTCTAATATTATATATTATTATATTTATATACAAATAAATATGATAAATAAAAAATATTTTTATTGATGGTAAAAATAAAAAAAATAGAATATAAAATTTAAATGCACGAACACACCATACCTCGATTACTTGTATTTGATCACAGGTTCTGATATGAACATTATTATTATTATTGTCATCATCTTCATCTAACATTAATGCAATGCACGTGTACACTCTCTTAACAGTTATGTTCTATTTTTAGGAAACTAAAATCTAGAGGGTGCAAAGCCCAAGGATACTTCAGGTATTTTGCCCTAAAATAAACAAATGGCGCACTACCTGAAAAAAACTCCAGATGTGCATGTCTTCTAGGTGGTAAAATGCAACTACTATTTCTTCCGTATTCCAATCACAAGTGAAAAAGATTCTCAACCAACTGTCTGTGAGAAAAGGAACGGATGGATCTTAACAAGATCCCAGTCTGATGACATAAAAGAGACCATGGTGGGTCCTCTGTTCAATCAATCAAACTCTATAAAGGACCCATCCTACGTCTGTTCATTTTGTATCTGTTTAGGACGTCAGGGGTTCTATTTTGACCCTCTGGACTCTCAACAGTGCAGTGCTTCAGGGGTTTTCTGCCCCATATTGAATTGAATTATCTAAAAACAATAAGCTCCATTCAAACACGTACATAACAAATTTTCTCGTTACTAGAATAATAATGAGCCAATAGCAATAGAGTATCTATAAAAAAAAATAGAACAATATCTAGAACTCAAATAAATACACCGTGTTGGTTCAAATAAATACAGTGTAGACAATGTTAAATTTTTTTGTCGGCCAAAGAAAACAGCAAGCTTAAATTAGAAACTAAAAAATCTGTACATCAAGAGCTATCAGAGCATTTTTTAGTAACATTTAAAAATGTTTCTTGAATTGAAGGAAGATAACCTACAAAAAAATTCACATTTAGAGCTTCTCGATCATCGGATCATTTATTTTTCAACATGTACAAGCTTTTTGTCTGATTTCTGGTAAGTTGCTTACTCTGTACAAAGCTTCCATCTTGAATATTCCTGGTCCCCGAATGCTGGTATTCTCTATTGCAATTCATTAATCAAGGGTTCCCTTTTAATCTGTAAAAGAAGCATTTGATTCATTTAACAAAATAAGTCACGTAAATTAATTTGATTCACTCATTTGAAGCAACTTTGCTTCAAATAATTTTCCGTCCATAAAACACCAATATTACAAGTATATGGAGAGTCGGTATACTTTATCCATCAAGTCATACACCATTAGCTAACGATTCTCTTTGTCGACCAATCTGCATACAACGGAGAACACAATTATTCAAGTGCTTGAGATTACAGTGAGAGAGAGAGAGAGAGAGAGAGAGAGAGAGAGAGAGTTCGATAAAACACCACACTCGTGCATACTGGGTCAAACAACATCTATGTAAGCATGTTTTAAACTGACTGGAATGACTCCAGTTGTACCATTCAAGTTCCAGGGTCATGTGGGTTCTTGTTGAGTTGCCGTGTGACCTAATTCAAAGCCATCTGCTGATCTGGCTATCGGTTGTGAACAACCTAAACAGAAGGTTTTGTGGGGTGAGGTTGGGTTGATCAGGACTATCAGGCTACTATGCATCCTAAGGCTGTGTTTGGTGTGAAGGAAAGAGTAGGGAAAGGTAGGGAAATCTTTACAAACCTGGTATAGGTTTTCCTACCTTTCCCTACTTTTTCCTTCAAACCAAACATAGCCTAAATAGAAAGCCCACATGGGGTCTACTAGGCTACTACACGTGACGTTAGCAAGAGGGTAGTGGGGTTGGTAAGGCAATGATGTGACCTAAAGAGAGACATGCCAATGTCTATTTTGCTGTTACACGTCCTAAGCAGAGAGTCATGTGGGATCAATAGGGCTACCACACAATCTAAAACACAAAGATCTACTTCCTGAAATTGGGATAATGGGCCTGATTAAAGGCATATTACTTCATAAAGCAATAAATGCTGAGGATCATCCTAATCAAGCTCACGAGGTGGGGATTTTTTCTTTGGAACCAAATATTGAGAAGAAGACAGAACTTTGAAAGGTGAAGCCAAACAACCAAAGCAAAACAGTAGCTAGTGATTGAAGCTTGAAATGTTGCAGAAAACAAGATGTGAGTCAAGCATCTTTCTAATATAACTCATGGCATTCATGCTAGGCGGCCCCCCACCTCTGGGTGCCTTGTCACCTAGGTGGGTGCCTTAACAACTATGTGGCCCGGTTGTATAAACAAGTGGAGAGAACTTCTGAGTTCATAGTTGCTAGGTTTTTTAAAGAGGTTCTCATTCAAGAATATAGCCATCAGACTCAAGAGTTGGAGTTGTCATGTATTTTTGAGGTTGGTCTGGTTGGTCACCAAAAAACAAAACACTGAGTTACTTGTCTGTGAAATCAACAATTTGTGAGAAATAAGAATTAGATAATGTGGCTACAAGTTTTTTTTATGGTAAAAAGGAAAATTTATTAAAAAATGAAAAAAGCAGATACAACCTAGAGAGGTGTTAAGGCAACACCTCCAAACAAAACTAAGGAGAAACAAGGCACCCAAAGCCCAATACAAAAAAGACCGCCAAACATCTTACAACCCCAACCACCCCAAAAAGAAAAACAGAAAGAAACGAACACCCATCTCTTGAATCAACCTCTTGGAAAAATAGGCTGAGCCCAAGTACCAACACAAAAACTACCACAGGCTTTCAAGCCTCTCCCTCTCACCTGCATCATTACCAACAACTCTCCTCACTCTTCATCAACAAGTTCTATTTCCTTCCCTTCACATTCACCCCCTTCCCCAACTGCTTTCCTCTTGTTATTGTCCTTCCTCTTGTTTTGTTCAAAGTGTTCAATTGCCTTCCTCACCACTGCTTCATCCCCCCAAAAAGAAAAAGGCCAAGAGATTTCCTAACTGCCACCTGTCTGTCTGCTAGTTGATCAATGCCCACTCTTCCCTTCTCAAGGGTTATTTACCTTGTGGAGTTCTTCAGCTTNCCCCCCCGTCTCCCTCTCCCCCTCTCTACTTTCCTCTCCAACCTCAACCTGAACTCGGCTTCCAAAAAAATTTTTTAAAATTCCTTTTCTCTCATCCTTTCTCCCTTTATCAGCAATCTTCTCCTTCATATCCTCCTTCCTGTCAACTCTCCTTTCCTCAAATTCCTCCCTCTCCCAAATGGATGCTTCATCATTTTGATTACTTGAATCAATGTCCGGAAATGAATAGAGCTATTAAAGATGAATGTCATGAAACAAGCCAAGAAATGGAGATATAATGTTAAATGCAATATTCAGAAACAAAGCAGGTATAAGTAATAAGGAATGAAAATAAGAAAAAATGTTATCTTCAATACAAAAGGCCAAAAAAATTACTGGACAAGTCAAGAAATAGGTAGAGCTAATGTAGTTTTTCTTGAAGGGAAATACCAACCTTTCAGTACACAAAACATATGAAATTTCCTTCAGATAACTCTTCCATCCATGCCATCAAGTAGACCAGACCATATTCCCTTTACTGGCGGTAACTGTGCAACAAAGGCATTCCATGGAGGATAACCAACTCCACTTCCACGGACACGACCATCCATCCGTAGAGATATATACCTTCAGAATAAGCATAAAGAACCATAACTTTGTGATATGGAAAGACCCATATATCTAATAAGTAAAATGTTTGTAAGGCATCAGATCCTACAATGGGATCCAACATCTAACACCAACTCAGTAGAACATTTTATTAACAATTCAAGGCACTTGATGGGTACCACCGTACCAGAGGTGATGACTTGCATCTGATATAATTCAAACTACACCCCCTCCAAAGAAACAGAAAAGAGTGAATAGGAAAAAAGAAAAATAAACAAATAAAATAAGGAAGAAAGAACAAACTGTAGAATGAGATGTATTTTATAAACTATATTCATAATTTGTATCCCTGAGGGTTTATAATAACTTAATAAGTAAGCAACCAGTCAGGACACTTACACTGGAGACTCAAGGGAGACATTAGCCAGCTTCTTCTGTTCATCTAACCACCTGCAAGCAGGAGATAAGTTGAAGGGCAGTGAAATAAAATTAACTTTCCAATCTTAGGATAGACTCTTACTGGGACCATTCAGAAACATATACAGGAACCAGCTGCCAAAGCCGCCTCCTTTTAGCGGTTATTTCCTTCATCTCCTTGTTGTCTTCAAATTCAAATCTAGGTGAATCCCCATCAGTAGCAAAAGGCACAACCAGTACACCTCGATCAATAAGGTTTTCAGTAAAAGGTTCACTAAGCCTGAAGGATTCTGCAATGAAAGATGCAGGACCAGCAAGGATGACAAGCCGTGCAATTCCTCTCAAGGAGCTCACAGAGATAACCTTGTTTGGATCCACCTGCAACTTAAGGGTTGAAAGGCTTTCCTCCCTTGAGAGCCTAGCTAGTTGAGCATTCTTAGCTTTGTTCTCCCTAGAATAGAGAAATGCAAAAATAGAGACAGCTCCAATGTCTATTGCAAGTCCTTTGAAGATCTCAGGGGCAGCTGCTGCTTTAGATGAATTTGTCAGKGCAGCAATCAATTGTGTGGTGGCTATTAGGCCTCCCAAAGCACCACTTGCCATGAAAGCAAGATAAAAGAACATACGAACAGAGCGGAAGGGAGAAAGGACTTCACTCCGTATCTTGGCTGTAGAACTAAAGCACAAACAAAGTCATAATTACAAGGAAGCTTCACTTGTAAAAAAAACCTGATATCAAAATCATTAGATCGAGTAACTAAATTAGAGAAGAAAACGTCATTTGATTTAATCAGGTTCAGTAAAATCTCCATTAACTCTTTCACTTTCTGTAGGTTCCATGTGAACAACACAGAGGCCATATTCTAGTTTGCATGCAAATTTGCATTCTATGAATCCAAAAATTACATATATGACATGTAAATCTGTGATAGAACTCAACTAAAAAGTACAAAATAAAGCAACAAGAGAACCATTGATCATAAAAGTGCTTTTGTGCAAACAAACAATCCCCATTAAACAACAGCGGAATTGAACAAATAAGGATATTAATATAACATGAAAATGGAAATTAACATCAGCTAGAAGGATTAAAGAAAATGTCAGTTCAGAAAGGYAAGAAAATCAGATCAAAATGTCTTTCCACCAACCATTAAGCCATGAGAAACCTTCTGCAGAAAGAAAAATTTTCAAGAATTAACTAATTAAAAAGCATAATTCTAATACCTAATAACAACTTTCAATTTTCATAAGAGTAATCAGATGGCTTCAAATGTAGATAGTCAAGCTAGTGTAAAATACAGATATGGAGAATTACAGACAAACAACCACAAACAAACCTATATTCCCAAATAGTCATTAGATATTAAATTTAAGTGGGAGATAGAATTACCATGAGGAAAACCATGAACAAACTTATATTCCCAAATAGTAATTAGATGTTAACTTTAAGTGGGAAAAGGAATTACCATGAGCAAAAAAAGGTTTAAAGGATATTCCATAAAGATCTTCATTTGAAATTAAAGGAAAAGAAGAATCAGTACAAAACAGTAGATCGTGTGTTCATTTACCCTCTAAACCACTAAACAAAATGGGTATAAATAAAGGGTAGCATTTTCCTTACTCGGTAAATCTCTTTTCGTGGAAGTACATTTGTTTAACTCCTAGGAATCAGAACTTATTTGGACAGGAAGTTTAATTATTAACACCTACTAGAGTTCAGCTAACAACATCAACCGCAGCAGTTCCTATGGCCTCATCTATTTTTGTTAGCCATTCCTCTTTGCACATTTGGTTATCTTCCTGTTCTTTATAGTGTAAAAATCCAAATACTAGTAAAAATCAGACTGGTTAGAGAGGCCAGAACAGTGGAGAAAGAGAGGGATGATGTCCTAGTGGAAGGGATTGATGCTGGTTTGCGCAATGAAGAGGTAAGCCCAACTGATCCAAACATAACTGTTGCTTTTGTTGAGTCGATAGATAGAGGGAAGGTAAGTAAAGGGGTAGGAGAAGAAGGGGAAAGGGGAGGTGGGGGAAAGATGATGTGTTTGTTTGGGACAGAAGGGTGTAGTCCACAGAATAGGGTCTATAATAGAAAAAAGAGGCTTTTGGGAATTTCATATGGAGAAGTTGGTGTGAAGGAGGTAGGGGTGGGAGAAGGGGAAGAGATCTTGGAGGGCGGGGGGAGGGAGGAGTCAGAGGTGAAAGGGGTCAGTGCTCAAGGAATTTCTGAGGTTGCTCAAAACGAAGAAGTGGATATCAGTAAGTTGGTGGAAAGAGCTGCGAAGGTGGGTAAATCACTTGGTCTGGTTCTTTTGGGGCGGGGGAGGTTTTGCAAGAATTACATTTGAACAGTTTGAAAAAAAAATAAAAAGAGGAAAAAATAGAAAAAAAAAGGAGAGAATTGAGAAGGATAAGGGCTGAGATGAAGAAGGGGGTAAAGAGGAGTTTTTAGGAGAGAGAGTGGGGGTTGAAGACTTGGGATCTTTTAAGGAAGTTAGGGGGAAGGAGGTTAGAATGAAGTTTTTGAGTTGGGTTGGGTGGGGTTGAGGGAAGGAAGAAGAAGGGAAGTGGCAAGAAATCTGATTTGAAGACACAAATTGAGATGGTTTTGCCCCAGTAGACAAGTCTGGAGAACTTCAATGTGAGAATGAAGGATGAATGACAGGTTATGGATAGTGGAGAGCTAAATGTAGGACAATTAGTTAACAGAGCAAATTCGGGGGGAATTCCTGGGATGTAATTGAGCTTCAAGTTTGTAATGTTGATCTGTTTTGTTGATTAGTATTGTGGTGTATCATCTTGACACCCATAAAGGTTGGAATACTTTTTTTTAAGGAATTTCATTTTTTACTCTAAGAAAATCAGAACGGTAAGCTAAAATTTATTTGAAGATAAGTTTCTGCCTGTCCCTCAGATGTGAACACCAAGAAGCCTAACAAAGCAACATTCAGAAAGATGGAGTCTTCTCTTTAAACAGACTACAGGAGCTATAGTTCTTCCTTTGAGGATAAATGCCAGCCAACGGATGCTAAATTAGGACCAATGAAAGGGGTTCTCTATGTTGAATTTAGTATTCCACAATCATGTATATTACAATTATCAAATGGATGGAATAACTTCTGATTTATATACAATTCAGTTTCCGCCTTCAATGGCAATCAACCTATTAAAATGCAAAGACCACTTTGAAACTGAATCCAGTTGCCATTCTGATTTTTGAAAGTGAATTTGATATTCAGTACTATTAACTTGAATTCTGATTGCAAAAGCACAACACAAGAAAATATTTTTAGTGCAAAATTCGCAATAATAGGAATTGGAGCTTCAACCAATCTCCCAGCAAATTAAGTTCAATTAAACAACAAATTCACACCATCAACAGCAGTGACATAATTTCCATGGAGAACTCATCCTAGAGACCTAAATACTACGCTCGAAATGGTAAAACGAAAGGGGGGGGNGGGAGGAGAATCTGAACCTTAATGCGGTACCTGACTTGGGTGGAAGGAGAAGGCTTATTAGCCGCAGAGCAACTGATGATGGAGATACGTTTCGTCCGTACGGGTGCCTGGCGTAGAATGCGATATGTGCCATGGATGGGGGAGGCTGTATTGCTGTAACCAAGGATTTGGCGGGAAAACCCGAGACTTCTCTGTTGAAAATCAGGGAATCTGATAATGCAGGAAGCTTGCGCCGCAGTAGCCATTGGCGGACTCTATTATGCGACCTCTTGGAGTACCATGAGCTGACAGCGTTCGACTCCGCTGAATTACAGCGACGACACGGTGCACCACCAAAAAGAATAACACGAACGAAGAAAATGGGAGGCTACGTTTTCTTTTCTCTGTGCAGATAGAACAGAGCTTCCGCATTCGCATTCTCCGCCCAGCATGAGTCCACGTCTCCCACACCCACTCAATGTTAATCGGGTGATTTGGGAAAAACACACTTGGCTGTCTACCTTCGACAGCCTCTGCTGTTCAGAAGGCTCTGCCTGTATATTAATAGATTAATAGGATAGTTCATTTGAGTTCCATATTAGTGGGTGCCCTTTAATAATGATGTAAAATAAAATGATCATTGTATAACTTTGTTTAAAAAACAAAAGAATATAAATAAGTGCACTTATTGTCCAAATAAGCACATTTAACCAGGTAAATAACTTATTGTTTACTAAATCAAATTAATAAGTTATAATTTGAGAAAATTTTAGACCAAATCAAATCATACCAAACCATTCTATTAGGCAATTTTATTGGTTTAACTTAATTAAAAGCCTAAATTATATGCATACCTACATAACTAATAAAAAATATAATTTAAATATCAAATTGAAAGGTTAACAAAAGCCACCAATTACTATCATATAAAAAGTCACACCACACTTTCTCAAAACATAAACAATTACTTAGGTATCAAATTACAAGTTAAAAAATTGAAACAAGCGACAACTTATCAAATATTGTTACAACTAATAGTGGCTTGGTTGGTATGATGTCTGTTTTGTAGTAGACTTTGTAATAGAGACCTAGAAAATCAAATCCCACTACCACCATGGGTGGGAGGTTAAAGGAATGGAGGATGGGGTTAACCCTCATTGTGTAGTCCCATGAAACATAACAAAAACAATAATATGCCAGATGTTAAATGAATACATACATACATACAAATATACATATTTTTAAGGATAAATTACAAATTATTACCTCTTCAACTTTCAGATTTTGATAAAGACCCCCTTCTTTGTTAAGTTGAGTCACAATGTTAATTCACCAAATGCTCACCCGAAAAACTTCTATAAAATAGACATTACAATGAGAAAACCAAGAAACTTCTAAGAAAAGTTGGAGTTACAACAAAAACAATATGTAATTAATATCAACTACACTATGTATGTGTGTTGGAACCATGGATGTTTATTTACTAAATGTTTTTTATACTTGATTTGTTTGGAAAACCAAGAAAAACAATAAATGAATCTGTTTATTGACACTTAGGTGCCATTAGACACCACATCAGCAAAATAGTGAATAAAAGCCTACTTGGGGGAAGCACTAAAATGAAGCTTCCCCCAACGGTAGGTGCACACATAAACCGAAAACCTACTTTTGAGAGTCCTTATATGTATGGATTCATATAATGGTGCAAATGCTAAAGTGGCGCCTATGTAGCAGCGTTTATTTAATAAATGTCCACGGTTCCAAAAACACCTTCTATAACAAAAATTGAAAATGCTAAAATAAACACCCAATACTTATTTTAAAAAATCCTTAGAATAAAAAGATTTAAAAAAGTTTAAACAATCAAATGAAAATCTTCTTGGCTGTGTTTGGTTTGAAAGAAAAGGTAGGGAAAGGAAGAGAAACCTGTGCCTTTCCCTACTTTTTCTTTCGAASCAAACACAGTCTTCCAAAATTAAATAGGGAATGCTAATGGAGGGGTCTTTGTTAGAATATAAAAGTTCAGGGTCTTTATCGCAAATAAAAAGTTCAGGGCCGAGGGCACCCCTATTAATCTATTATCGAGCAAAATCAAATCGTTTTTAAAATCAGACCAGACCATGAGACCAAACCGCTAATTTCGGTTGATTCGGTGCTCTTTGGCGGTCTGAAACCATAATGAACTGCACTGACAGATACCTGGAAGAGAGAACATCTTGTTCTTGGCTTGGAAAAGGGTTCGCCTAGATACCGGAAAAAATGATTCCGAGATCAAATTTGGAATTACCTATCCGATTCGACGATAGGTCATAGATGAGAATTGTCGCCATTTTTTGCGTGGGATTTCCGCTCTTGATTTTAGGATTCAGCTATGTCTCCCACCGCTCCTTTCTTTCTTCTAGGAGACTACTTTTGCACCTTACAACGAATACTGACAGTTGTAGTTCTGATCAGAACACTCTTAACTTCTTATAGGAACTTAAACCCTGATATCTGCCTTGTTTATAGTAATTAGTGCTTTAGATTTATTGTAATATATGTTTTTAGGATTTATTTGAGTTTCTCTAGTATCAAGGTTCAAAGTATCAACACACTCCCATACTCAAAAATTGGGTGTTGAGCATGTAATCACTTTGATACTCCTTTGTTTTAGTACTTTGTTAGTTTAACAATTTGTAGGCATGTATGTGAACATAATTGTTACCATTTAAAACTATAATTAGACCCAACTCAAAACTGATATGTATGGTATGATATGCACTGATACATTGTGATACTTTGAACCTTGCTTGGTATATTCATGCATATCTTAATCTCTAAATAAATGTGATGATTCTCTCTTAAATAAGTGTTTTTTTTTTTTGACTTTTTTGGTTGATGCAGGTAACGACCTTCTCTTTTGTTGTAGGCGAGGTAAGCCACTAGTGTTATTCTTTGATGCACTATTTTTCTTTTTGGTTTTTTGAAATTTTGAATTTGGTTTGTTGGAATTTGTTATTGGTATATGTTAGAATAGGGAGCTTGGTTGTATGTTAACATTATTCAATATCGTTGCACAGAAAATGGCACGTCTTCCAATTTCAAATAGAAGGCAAAGACGAATTCGTAATATTCACATTATGTGCGCAATGGTCATGATGTTGATCGTTTTGTTTAATATCTTCTAATTGTATCTCACAATTAGAAGATATCGGTCAATATCATCAAGTAAATATGAAAGGAGGATGAAATGGATTGAATATATAAACAAACTCATTAGAGAGAGCGATGTGTATTGCGTGAATGAGCTTCGAATGGATAGATGCACTTTTGATATATTATGTGAGATGGTTACAGACATTGGGGGATTGAGGGGCACTAGGAACATGTCGATGCAAGAAATTGTAGCAATTTTTCTTTATATTTTAGCTCATTATCACAAAAATAAGACAATTGGCGCTGATTTCTTGTGGAGTGGAGAAACTGTGAGTCATCGATTTAACTGGTGTCTCCTGGCTGTATTAAGGTTGCATAGAGTGCTGCTTAAAAACCCTGAGCCTATTACCGATGATTGCACAGATGATAGATGGAAATGTTTTAAGGTATCATAATTTGTTATTGTATTGATTGCTATTGTTGCATTTTGTATTTACACAATTTGTTAAATTAAAATTGCTTTTGTATTGTAGAATTATCTTGGGGCCCTAAATAGTATGATGATTCCTGTGACTGTTCCTGCTGAGGACAAACCAAAGTACCGAACAAGAAAGGCAAATATTGCCACCAATGTGTTAGGTGTTTGTTCACTTGACATGCAATTTATTTATGTGTTGCCTGGTTGGGAGGGTTCTGCAGATAATGGTCGTGTGCTTCGAGATACAATCTCTAGGCCCAATGGATTAAAAGTCCCTCAAGGTAAATAGATTTGTTAGTATTGATAAGTTAGCTAAATCTTAACATGTTTTTTTTTTTTGACATCTTTTTTCTTTGTCCCTTGTATGTGTCAAGGTCATTATTATTTGGTGGATACTGGATATTGTAATGTAGAGGGATTTCTTGCCCCATATAAAGGTCAAAGATATCAACTCAATGAGTGGAGGGATGGGCAACAACCACATACTGCAGAGGAGTATTTTAATATGAAACATGCCAAAGGAATGTCATAGAGAGGTGTTTTGAAATGCTTAAGCGACGATGGAAGATCCTTAGTAGTCCGTCATTCTTTCCTATTAAGACTCAAATTCGCCTGTTGTCTTCTTCATAACATTATTAGAAGAAAAATTGGCTACAGATCCCTTAGAGAATGAAGTTGGAGAGGATTATGAAGAGGATGAGGATGAGGAAGAAGATGATGATGTGGAGTACATTGATAATATTATCCCTACTGATCAATGGACCGATTTTAGGAATACTTTAGCTCAACAAATGTTTAACAACTTTAGGAATACTTTTGGCTGATAGGATGTCTACCAATGTTGAGAGTACCCAATTTGAGTGTGGTAGAGGAAAGAACAAATGTAAGTGGTTTGATGATTGAGGATAAAGCATTGACTAAAAGCTTGCAAGAATTGTTTACTGACCCCTAGTTGAAATGCAATGACGATTTTAAAATTGGTTATATGGTGAAGTTATGAGATGTGATTCATTCAAAGATTTCCAATTGTAGTTTTATGATGAGTTTAGGCTTAAGTGGGTTAAGCAAAAATACTTTGCAATTGTTTAGATGTTAAATGAAAGTGGATGTAAATGGGATGATACAAGGAAGGTGATTCAGTGTGAGGACTAATATGACTGTTGATGCAAGTTGTCTACCATTTCTTTATCCCCTAAATTTGCATAAATTGTCTTTGTTTGTTTTAGTTTTTGATGTTGCTTATGTTGTTCAATTTGCTAGTCTTACAAGGATGCAAGTGACCTATATGACATGGAATTCAAATGGTTCTGGGAGCTTGGAGAGATTTATGGCAAAGATAAGGCAATGAGTCAATTGGCTGAAACTTTTGTGGAGGTTATGCAATACATGAAATTGGAGGAGGTAGAATACGATGTTGAACATGATAGTAATGATGAGGATGATTTGGTGTGGACGGCCAATCAATAACACAGTCCAGCAAATTAACCATTGCAGGCACAAGTAGTTTTAATAAGAAGAAGAAGCAACAAACACCTAAAGGAAAGAAGACAAAGAAGTAGAAAGCAATGCAACTACAAAATGGAAGTGCATCAGAACCTCTACATTGAAGGTGATTTTGCAAACACCATAAAATGGTTAGGAAAGCAGGAGGCTGGACCATGGAGACTTATTGGATTCCAAGGGATTTAAATGCTATTGCAAATGGCTTAGCAAAACCAGGTGCTCATTTAAAGGTGTTGTACTGTAATAGGATTTTCTTGTGTAATCTTTAGGGGTTTGACCCCTGTTTGATTTGTTCACCTCCTTGTGTACCCCTCTCTTATTTCAATGAAAATGAAGTTCAATTAAATTTTCTAAAAAAAATGCAACCACAAATTAATTTGGAGGCACAGTTTTCGACTACTACAAATAGATATGAGTCACTTATGTAGGATATTGGCATCCACTGGAGGACTATAGCTACTGTGATGGCTCATGGGGATGAGCGTGAGCAACAATTGACTTGACTGATTGGAGCAACAACATCGAGGGGGAGCTAATAAAAATTGAGGGCTTAACAAGTGGAGATGTGCTTAGAGTAGCTTAACATTCTATTCGTTGAGGCACTAAATTTTAATGTGTTTTCTTAGCTTCCATTTGCAATGAGGAGGCAGTTTGTGCTTGATCTTCTTTATCCCAATTTTGGTGGATCTAGTTCTACCCACTATGTGCTATATATTGTATTGTGCTTGATTCTTATCCTTGGAGTTGGATATGTGGTAGACTTGGTTTCGATAGTTAGCTGTTATGTTATCTTATTATGATTGTGAATTTTATATTGTCCATCGTATTATGTGCCTTTTTCTTCATATTTTCTCTCTCTCTCTCTCTCTATGTATGAATTGAATGCAAAGTTATGTATCCATTTCAAAAGAAGTCGAATTTGAAGTTTTTTTTTTGTTAGGGGAAAAATTGAAATCCTAGTTAATTCTGTTCCAACTTCTAGTTGAACCAATCAACATTAATTGGAATCCCAATTCCCATTTCGACCGTGAACTAATCAAACCCTAAGATTCCAACTTCACATTAGAAAGGAATTGGAGCCTTTGTAAATCTCAGTCCACGCTTCAGTTAATCATATAAAGAAAATACAAAAGATCCCAGGTTCATAACATTTTCTACTCCTTTCTTTTCTAGTATTCCATTATTATTCTTCTTGCACATGGTTCAATGAATTCCTTAACATTAACTGTTGAAGGAAATTTAGTATCCTTTATTCTTCTATTTTGTAATTTGTATTGTTTGTTTCAAATTTTATTTGAGAGAAATAATCCATTTGGTGGATTACTATACTATCTATATTTCTACTCTGTTTTGTTTTTCTTTTTCTATGGTAATTTGGAATTGTTATTTGGCTTGTAGATATACAGAATATTCTTCCTAGAAGATTTAGAAAGGGTTGAGTTTGTCTTTGATAAGATTTTGACAGATTTTATCCTGACATGCATTTTATTATACCACTGTGTTATTTTCCTCATTTCCAATGCCCTACCTCTGTTGTGTATGGTCCTATCTAGCGGAGGGTTATGTTGTTATTCCTGGATGTATCTTTTCATTTGTATAAAATTGTGATATTGGAATKTGAAATTAAATACTGATAAAAATGTTAAGAGATTGATGAATATGCTATCATTTTTTAAATGCAGAAATGGTTGGAGGCCTATATATTTGCTAAAATTAACAATGAAAGAATGTAATAATTTAAGTAGCATCTTGAACTTCTTTTCTCCAAACCAACTTCTTTAGAAGGGCAATACTAGAAAGCATGGGAAGCATAAGGTCTTTGATAAAATGAGATCAAGGTCCTCGCATCAACGAAGGTTGAAATTCTAGTATGGGAAGCATAAGGTCTTTGAAAAAATGAGATCAAGGTCCACGCATCAATGAAAGTTGAAAGTTGGGTTCAATCTTTAGGAGGTTAAGTACATAGAAAGAAAGCTCTGTACCCTAAACCGTTCTGATAGAAGATGTGGAAAGCGAACCTTATTAGTGTTTCTTGTTTGGTTGTTCCCCAACTTTCCTTGATTACCAACACTCTAAACACTATCATTGCGTCTTGTAGGAAGTTTTGTGCCAAGCATCAAATCGTATCCGTGTCTTGACATATCTAGACTCATTTAGTTTGAGACACTGAGTTGTCCTGGTAACATAATTTCTGTAACTTCCTGGGGACTTTTCTTAAAATGGTTATAGATGATTGTACAGAGTGAATTTGGTAACCATCCCAAAAATAGAAATTTAAGGGAGAGTACAATGGAGAAGAGGAAATGAATTAGAGTTCAGTTTCCAAGTGCCAGTTCTAGAGTTAGAGCCTTTCTTATCCTCACCTAGTATTCATTTTAGGGAAATTGTCCAAAACCCACCATCACTTTTTATGAATTCTCTTAAACTCACCATAACTTTTCACAACATCCAAAACTCACCATGTTAGTGAGATAACGGTAACTTGACTAACGGGCATCATTAATTTACTATTTTACCCTTCTTCTGCTGCTAAAATCTTTCTTTTCTATCTTCGTGAGCTCTGGAGGATACCCAGAAAAAGCGGGTCTGGGTCCTGCACTGCTTGGCCTTCTCATTTGAGCCTGAAGTTTCCATCTTTCAGGTGAGCAAAGGATCCAGGTTCTCAGAGGTTTACATGGAGAGTGTAAGCAATGATGCATTCTTGTCATCCAATAATCTCCTCGTGGCTTTCACAGTCATCCCCGGTTTCAAGATTGGCAAGACTGTTATACAGTGTCAGGTGTACCTATCTCCATCTCGAACTCAAGTTAACCACAGGCGGGCAAGCCGATGATGTCGCCGACCGACACCTGACAAAGGTGTATCAGCATTCTAGGAGCATGGGTCCGGTCCACCCGTGAAGATGGTCCAGAGGGGGTTATAATCTGGAACCTGGAGTTTAGAGAGGGAAGGCGAGTTCGGTTGCTCAGGTTGTGGGGAGTGGGCACCCGACCTGGTTTTCTGGTTTCTCTTGTTTTCTATCGAGCAAAAGAAATCTGTTGCCATTTGTGGGAGTGGACATTACTTTCTTAATGCTCCTTTTGGAGATTTTTGTTAACAGCCAAAAACCAGTGACATAAAGAGTTTGCAAGAAGACAGCGCTATAGTTAAGTAAGAGCTTTTGTATGTTTGCCTGTTCAAAACATGTTTTTTTTATTTTTTATTTTTTATGTATATATGCATGTAATTGGTGAAGAAACCATGGAAAAGTTTAATATAATATCTCCTGATTTGGGCCAATTAATGATTAATAATATTCTAGCCAAATAGTTGAGTGTTTCATTGTGAATTCCAAGCTGTGCAGCATTTTCTCAGATGCCTTTAGGAATATTTTTGTGGGGGTTGCCAAGCCCCACTTTGCTGTGGTTTCTTGCCTGTCTCCATGCTGGAGGCCACTAATGTTATACTAGATTAATTGCAGAGAGTGCCGAGTCTCCCCCTGGTTGTTGCAGCTCCTCTGCCCCTACTCTTCATGTAAGTGGTCGTCGGTTCAAGGCCTGAAAGGCAGCTCTGCAACATGTGAGAGAGGTCATGGGTTTAAGGCCACGAGAGCATACATAATTCTACACCTGATTCCTCTGTATGGTAATTTCTTTTTCATTGTATTCATTACTAGAACGGTTTCAGTCTCCAGATCTTAAGAGTTTAGAACTTTTGGTTACAGAACTGTGGTCTTTTTTTTTTTTTTTTTATCTTTTTCAGCAAAGATAATATCACTAAGAAACTGAGTAGATCCATTACAGACTCCATTAACACAGGGAAATCCCTCAAGAGTTGAGCTAACATTCCTCCATTAGTTTTGAGCACATGGACATGAACTTGAAGGCCCTCGATCAGTTGAGCACATGGTCCCTCAATTGATACCGCATGCTCCAGAAGATACACCAGAAAATACAGTAAAAGGGGAATTGGAATGCCAAAACGATATAGAAGCTAACAAGGGGATTGATGAAAACTCGTCTATGCACCCTTCCTTGGACATTGAGAGCAAGAAGACACTTCCTTTGATGTTGGGAGCAAGAAAGACTCCCAGTGAGGAATCTTATATATGAAATAGGGTTGGGCACTTAAAAGGGCATTTCAGTCAAAAAAATGTTTAACAGGCTGACTCACCATTCAAGGGCAGTTTAGTCATGAAATATGCATTTAGGTTGACGTGAACAACTTGGGTCATTGAACTTTAACGGTGTTCTAACGGATGGTGAGTTTTATAAATAAAATCTCACTGACATGGTGAGTTTTGRACGTTTTGAAAAGTTATGGTGAGTTTAAGAGAATTCATAAAAAGTGATGGTGGGTTTTGGACAAATTTTCCTTCATTTTAAGATTGGAGATTTCAAACTCTGAACTGGTTGAGGGTTTCATAATTGTCAAGGTGTCGTCTAAACAACTTGACTTGTAGCAACAAGGCATCAATCTAGGTGAATAGGTAACAAAAATGACGAGGTGGGCGCCTTATTTATTTATTTTTGAAAAAGGTATTAAATAAGAGCAAAAAGCATGTACTACAAGTATCTGTACATAGGGATTTATAAATACTGCCGAAGCACTCCAATATCCCAACACCCTTTTTTACAAAAAAGATTATTAGAAACAATAAGGAATTAAAATTTCTGTCCTTGAACAATCTATTTACTGCTAGCTGAGAGCATTTTTCTCCAAGTTTTCTGAAATACTGTATCCATATGACACTGTTTATTCTTAAAAATCCTTGCATTCCTCTCCTGTCAAATGCACCAAAAAACTGCCAGTTTTCTTCTCTTAGGGAGATCTTCAACTCTCCAGCCCTTCACAAAATCCACCACTGATTCAGGGCAGCAACTTTGCACCTCAAACAAGTTCCCAACATCGTACCAGACGTCAAAGGAGAATCTGCAATGCAGTAACAGATGGTTGACTGATTCATTATGCTCCTGACATAAAACACAAATGTGTTAAATATTATTCATATTGCTATATCTTACTAATATAATATGTGTGTTAATACATTCTATTATATACTAAATATATTTTTTAAAGTTTTACTATTGAAATTTATAAGATTAAAGACTTTTGAGAAGATAAAATGAATAGAATTATAGAGTATTCAAATATTTAATTTAATAAATGAAATTTCTTTGCTGATAAAAAAAGAGAACTATAGAAGTATAAATAGGTTTCTTTTTTTCCTTTTTGTTTTCTTTTCTATCATTATTCCTTTTCTCTTTTTCTATCTTATTTTTTTAAGGTAAAATATAAAAACCTCCCTTATATTTTCATTTTAATAAAAACCTCCCTGTAATTTTGAAAAAAGATACAAATACGAAATACCTCCCTTCCATTGTCTTTTACGATGGAACAGACTTTTAATGCGTTATTTATTTATTTTTTTAAATTACCGAATTTACCTTTCATAAAACAAATTTACTCTTATTTATTTCACTTCAGCTGTTTTGACAGCAATGAAGAAACTGTAGCATCCACTGGAACTTGTTGACCGGAGAACATAGCATCGATCGGAGAAATCTCGTCGGATAGTTGATACATGCAGTAGCTTCAACGATGTATGCGGTGATTGGGTTGTTGGATACTATGCAATCTCATATGAGAGTTGAGGTTTTGAGTGTGGACGGACCTATATCTTTTTCCTCCAGATGGCGAGATGTTTGAGCAGATGAAAAGAGCTTCTTGGATTGAAGCTTCAAAACCATCAGCCTAAGCAAGAGCTGCAGAAAACAAATTTGTCATTAGATCTAATGCGAGGTCTCTAAAGCAGTTCCTGTATAGAAACCCCAGGTCTCGATTCCTCTTGTGTCGCCAATTCGTCTCACACTGAAAATAATTTTTCAGATTGTAGTTTATAAACAAGATAAAATCACACCAATTTCAAAATTCAAGCTTCATCTTTATAACCATAGAAAAGGACTTGGAATTTGGAAGTTGAATGCATATCCTTTTARGCTTCATCTTCATAACCATGGAAAGACGAACGTATTTTAGAGAGAATATCGGTGCTTGAAGATATGGAATAAGGTTTGTGGGTCACAGAAGTTATGCAAATCTGAGGTTTTTCAGCAGAAACGAATGCCGAAGAGCAATCATCGCCTGAAAATGAAATGAAGTTATGCAAGTCTGAGGTTTTTTCTTTATTGCCTTTAATTTATTCAAAATTTGAGTTGGATGGTTGTATAAAGATAGAGGGTACATGCTAATGGATGTGACTTGCATGTAATATTTATTTTAGCAATTGTCAGATTTGTGGGCTGCATCTTATGGGAAGTGGAAAATTTATGACCTTTTCTGGTACCTTAGTTCAATAATTCATAACAAGGGAGAGATTGAGGAAGATGTCGCTCATAAAATTAGAAGTGGATGGGTGAAATAGAAGAGCATCCAAAGCTTTATGTGATAGGTAATTGCCACTTTGATTAAAAGATAAATTCTATAAAAAGTTGTAAGGCCAACTATGTTATATGGAGCAGAGTTTTGGGCAGTCAAGAAACATGTCCAAAAAAAGAGTGACACATGAATGTGTATTCTGAGATGGATGAGTGGAAAAACTAGAGAGGATAGGATCGGAAATGAAGTCATTCCAAAGAACTTGGAAGTAGTTCCAATAAGTGATAAAATGAGAGAAAGTAAATGTGTTTGCAGATGCTTTGGAACCCAGGTGTTAAGCTGGTTACAGAGAGGAAGTGGTCCTTGGAAGTTTGCTAATGAAAGAAAGGAAATCAAATGGCTAACTAGGGGAATGAACAACCGGTTTCAGTGGGTGAAAAGAACAGCAAATGCGTTTGCAGATGCTTTGGCAAAGCAGGGGGTGGGTAGGGATCAATTGTACTGGGCTGTATTGTGAGATGTTACTTTGCTCTCTTGTAGAGAGTTAAGTCTTTTTAACTCTCTCTGGATTGCTGTACCTATTTCTTATTAATATCTAATGAAATTTTGTTATTGATAAAAAAAAAAAAAGAATGAGAGAAAGTAGACTAAGGTGGTCTGTTCATGTGCATTGAGGACCAAGGTTCAAAGTAATATATCAAAAACAAAATAAAAAAAAAGACCCAAGGTTCAAAGTATCGATTGGGCGTATCATATAATATCTTTGGGTACCTGATGCACCTGTTTACTGGTGTTTTCAGGAACCCCCTTTTCTATTAAATAATATATATATATAATATATATATATTAAATATATATATATATATTAAATATATATATATATATATTAAATATATATTATTTAATATATATATATATTAAATAATATATATATTATTTAATAGAAAAGGGGGTTCTTATTAAATTATATATATAAAGTTGTAATTAAAACTGAAATTTGAAAAAAACTAAAAAAAAATAAAAGGTTCATCACTTAAAAAAAATAAAAGGTGTATCGATACTTTGAACATTGGGAAGACCATCAACAACATGCATAAGAAGTGATCTTTTGCAAGTTGAAATGGCTAGAAGGGCTAGAGGTAGACCAAAAAAAGACATGGATTGAAATAGTAAGAAATGACTTAAGCGCATATAATTTAACAATGATATGGCATTAAACAGAATGGAATGGTGAAACAGGATTCATGTAGTCAATTGCATATAGTTGGGATAAGGCTTGATCATGATGATGGTGATCTTATGGAAAGTGGAAGCCACTAGAACAATACATCTTACAGCTGCCCAAAAATTGGATCAGGTTTTGATCTGGATCCAGTCTATGTTCTATTAGATAAGACAGTTGGCTTGAAGGCCATCTATGGATAGTGAGGTCAGATAGCCTGCCAAATATCCTACTTTCCTTATGAATTGCTAAAGCATTTAGGAGTCCTCATCTCCCTCTCTCAACTAGTCAATTGCACCATAGAAGTCCCTCCACCTCCACTCGGTACAACCTAGTTAATACATTGGATAAGATCCTTGAAGCAAAGGCATACTCAGATTTGATAGGGTTCCCATAGCTATGATACCTGAATAAACAAAAGGATGTCTCCTCAAATGTCCTCTAGAAGCACCTTCAACTCCAAATCCACACAGATCTGTAAAAGAGCTATCATCAAAGTTGAGCTTAGATGCTCTTTGGGCCGGGGCCCCAGGACATGGAGGTATGGTGTCTGCTTGTCCAAGACACCAAATGGGACTGGCCTCTCACAATATAGCTTCAATTGAGAAGGGGGTGAGAGTGTTGGAAAAACTAGTTTAGAAGCAGGGTTTATTAATGAAGGAGTTAGTTCTACAGAAGAGGTGAAGATTGTGATGAATAGATAAGGATTTGACTGATTTGTCTTCTATCAAGGAAAGCATGTTAACTTCTAATGATGATTTTCAAGTCTATATTGTAGGTAGTTCAATTCAAAGTTTGAATTATAGAATGATGTCCTTAGTAGAGATCCCAATTGATGTTGAGAGGGCTTCTGCTCATGATTCCTAAAATGCGGTGGGGGAAGCTGGAGAGTTTGAGAATGGTGAAAATGCTGACTCTGTTGATGATGTTTTCCAAATAGAGAAAAAAATGAATTTAAATAGGGTGATGGAAAAAGAAGTTTATAGAGGAGTAGGGTTTGTTCTTTTTTGGTGGTCAGGATTTTGTAAGAAAAATATTATTGTAGTTAGAAAGGGAAATAAATTAACCCTTTCCATTCAAATAAATTCTATCAAGTCATCAAGGCATTTTTCTTAATTCAGAAAGTGAGAAGGGGTTTTAAGATGTTCAAAGGAATTTTGATATGCTTTTGTAAAAAATGAAAGACGATTTTAACGGAGTAAAGATGTTATATTGGATGATTGTTGATGATGGTAGATGTTGTCAGGGTTGGTGCTCCAGTAGCAACGTGTTAAAGGACAAGCTTGCATAGGCTTTAAGCTCATCACAAGCCTGTGCCGAGTCCTGAACTCTCCATGGGTGTCTCTGTATGTGCTAAACCAATGCTACATCAGCCCCTTGCTTTAAGATATTGTAGTTGTGGTGATCAGCATGTACCTACATCAGCCCCCTGCTTATCGGTAAGTATTACCGATAAGCATTTGTGTCGTCGGGTTCACTTTGGAGGTCTGTGATAGAGTGATGAGTGCGGGAGACCGTGGGTGTTGTGGCGCCTTGGTTATGTGATTCTTTGTGGCTTACAGCAAACAAGTTCCCTGGTTTTGGGGTGTGTGTTCGCTTTGTTGACTCTGGTGATCGTTCTTGTTCCCGGTTGGTATGCATGGCAGACTGTGTGCATAAAAATTTTAATTTGGGTAGGCTATTAGCCCCCTGCTTATCGGTAAGTGTGAGCTTATCGACAAGCATTCCTACCTTTTGGTCATTGGGGTCGATTATTTTGGTATATTCAGCCCCCTTGTTTTTTGACGGAGTGCTTTCTATCAAGAAGCATTTCAGTATTTTGGTCATTTGGCAAAGTTCTTAGACAAGGGGGTGTTCTATAGCGTGAATGAGAAATTGATGGATGTGAAATAGTTCACACCACACCATTGTGGTAGAGGCCAATCCACACCACACTATAATCCACATAGGTTTGGTTTTATGGCAAAACCTGGAACCTACCCTATAGGGGTCAGTTTTAAGTTTTTGGAACCAAAACCTACATTGTGAAAGTCGGTTCCAGGGTTAGTTCTAGCCTTGATGGTTTCGGGTCGGTTCTAGGATCTACCCATGGAACTTGTTCTTTGTTTACTCTCTCCTTAAAAAAAACATGTTTTTTTTTAAAACTTGATTTTTAATAAATATGATATATATAGTTTAAAACATATATTAACTTTATTGATTAAATTGAATAAGTTAATATGAAAATTATCATTATATGGTTCAAAACATATAATTTAAATTTTGTAAATATTACCTTTTGCATTACTCATTATACATATTCAAATATTAACATGGAAACAAATGATCAAATCACTTAAAGTAACTCAATAGCCAAGGGAGACCATGGCCTTTGTAACCATGAATGCTTGGGTTCAAATGTTCACATCCCTAAAAGTATTTTGGGGTTTATTTCAAGGCAAGTTCGGTTCCAAGATAGGTTCCACCAAGGCCAACAAAGGCCAGTTCATTGGATCGGTTCAGGTAGGATAAACCCCTAACCCTAGAACCAGCCTAGGTGGGGGTCAGTTCCAAGAATTTGGAACCAGACCCTACCCTAAAATAGATCGGATAGGGTCGGTTCAAGGCCAATTCCAGATTGGTTCCATTCGGTTCTGGGTTTCTTACCCATTTCCTCACCTCTAAATCCACAACAATCCTTCACAATTCAAATGACTAACAACCAATTTGCACTCTCCACATATTCACTTATAAGGTGTTGGGATAAGCCCACCTTTGAAAGCTAAAAGCTAGCCCCTAGTATTCAAACCTCCCAAATGATTATATGGACAAGCATGCCATTTGCATCCACCAAATTAAGGGCTTGGTTTTGTTTGTGCTTTCATTTGGGTTTTAGCTGGTTCTAGAATGAAAAACAAGTGGGATTGCATTCCATTAATTTTCATGGAATCAAGAATTAATACATGGTACAAGAACAAGCAGAAATCTCCCCTTTAGACATGCCAATTTCAAAATAGAGGATTTGTGGATGTAAGCATGACATGGTTGTCACATGGTGTGTTTCGCATACCAATAAGGTAGCGATAAGTATCGTCTATATCTCATGGATGGGATCCTTTTGGTTCTATACATGGGTATACAACCGTTGAGTTCATCATGGACCTAGGGGTGGCCATGAGCCGAGCTTTTCACGAGCTATTCAATCTCGACTCGTGAACAGTTCAGATCGACTCGGTTTAAACCGATCTTCAAGCCGAAATCGAGCCTGATATATAACCTTGTTTGCTAATCGAGCCGAGCTCGAGCTAGGTGAAGCTTGGCTCGTGAGGCTCGCAAGCTTAATCAAGCCTAGTATAATAAATAAATAATTTTTATTATATACATGCATACATACATACATAATTTTTATTATATACATGCATATATACATAGATAAATATATAATAAATAATTTTTATTATATATATAATAATATTTTATATATAATATTTTTTGTTTTTATGTATAATAGTAAATAATTTTTATAATTCTTATTTTTTGTATGAAAAATAAAAATATTTTTTATATGTACATTTTTTATTTTTATTTGTATAATAATAAATATTTTTATAATTCTTAATTTTTTGTATGTAAAATAAAAAATATTTTTATATGTATAATTTTTATCTTTTAGAAAAAAAAATTTATTTGTATAATAATAAATAATTTTTATAGTTCTTAA